ATTTTTTTTTTTTTTTTTTTTGGTAGCGGGGATCGAATTCCAGACCTTGCGCTTGCGAGGCAGGCGATGGAACCACTGAGCTAAATCCTGGCCACTCAACCTCAAATATTGATGATTACACAAAATAAACATAGTTTTACTGAACTGTAAATGTCACTAGTTTTAGAAAATTAGTTTTGTAACTGCAGAAAGGGAATGGGATATAATAACTGAGAACACACCACTAGCTCTTCAGTATATCTAACTTTACTTCAATCTTTCATGTTTTTTCATATTGCTGGTTCTATCCTTACATTTAGTAGTGATGACTGTAACTGCTTTTCAATTGAGATGAAGCAAAGAAAGCAAAAAGATTTTGTTGTGAGTCAATAGGCAAGAATCATATGAAAAGAGAAAAGAGGTTAAAATATATCTGTAATTAGAGGTGAGGAAGAACTAAATGAACCAAACCAGAGGCTCTCAAATCTGTATGCACATCAGAACCACTTGGGGATCTTTTAATTTTTTATTATTTTGCAGTGCTGAGGATTAAATCCCAGGACTTGTGCATGCTAGGCAAGCATTCTATCACTAAGCTACCCTCCAGTTCACTTGGAGAGCTTTAAAAATTACCATGCTTCACCATAGATTTTGGTGCTCAGTGGGTTAGGAGCCACTGAAGTTAATTAAACAAATAAAAAACTTTCCTAACAAGAGGCAGGGGTTAAAAGGATGATGATGAAAAGACAGTTCTTATACAGTCTACTATATGGTGCTCTTAGTATATGGTTACTATGGAAATGAGGAACCTAGCCATGGAATGGATAAAGGTAGGGAAATAACTACTGCCAAGAACCATATCTTACCTCTGTATCTTCAGTATACAGTAGGTGTGCAACACTCTGACTAACATGAATGTCAGCTAAGCAAATGACTATGGGATGTTATTAACTAAGGATCACCTTTACTTTCCTGAACCATAGTCCTATATTGAGAAACAAAGGGCTTTGGGATTTTGTAATAAATTACTGCTTGTCCACTGAGAAAGCACAAAAGAAGCAGAATCAACCTGGAAATCTTTTAAAAATCCACTGACAGTCTAGGAGACCATAAGTCTACTAGGAAGAAACATACATTTTGAGAAACATTTCCCAGGTAATTCAGAACAATAAATAGCAATGGAAACTTGTACAGTATAAACAAAATGTTCACTTAGTATTGTTTCAAAATATAAGAGCTCATTTGGTAACCAGTAAAACAATTTTAAGAAAAATTATAACTTACCAGTAAAAAAGAAATTAAGGGAAGCATGGAGAAAAGAAAGACAGAGATAACTATTGAGAATTGCAGTTTAGTTTCAGAGAAAAGTTAATAAAAACTCCTCTTCTGCTGCAGTATTCCAGCCATCCAGCTCTAAGTACATTTTTGGAAGAAATACAATAGCTATTACCACCTATGTAAAACATAATCTTCTCAGCCCTTGCTTCTCTTAAAGATGCCTTGGACACTTAACCATCTGAATTAAGGTTCTATGTTACCTCTAGACTAGATTTTTTTACTAACCTTCTAAATGAGCTCCTTGCTACCCAATTCATCTTATTCACTATTACAAGATAAATCCTAGCCCTAATTCCCCCCACTTTAAAGTCATCATGTACTTCTATACTGTCTACAAAGGACTTAGTTTGTCATTTCAAGGTCTTGATCTGCTCCCAGTCTGCCACAACTGGTTTCAGTGTCTTTCCTCTTATTGCTCCCCACACATGCTACAAGTCCAAATACCATACATTCTCTTACTTCCTTAACAACCTAAATACTGTTCTGTTACTGAAGGTCTTCCAGATCCTACTACACTAAAAAACTTCTGAAGAGTCTAATTTCAGGCCAAAGTCTTGTGCGTGATTTTTTTGCCTAAACACAGGCAGTTACAAAGGCTTTACCTTGCACATTAGGGGGATGTATGGCAATGGGCTGCAAAGGGTGGGCTACCTTGCTTATACTCTACTTAGTGCACAGCTAACATAGCAGTTTATACAGGGAGTTGCAATTCCACCGCCCTCCCCAACCATTCTCATAGGTCTATCTACATTCCAGGTCCGTCGTCTGTGTTCAGAGACTCACTTATGGGAGGGAGGCCCTATACCAACATATACTTTTTAGATGTCCCCAGGGATACCTCCTTAAGTAAGGGTGGAGGAGATGTGAAGACACCTTTCTCCACTCTGTCTTAGCACTTTTTCCAGTTCTAATCCTCTTCTCTCCAGGTCTTTTTCAGTTCTCTGGTCCACAAAACAGTAAGAGCCCTTTGTTTGGGGCTTCCTAGCAGTGAGATCCTCCACCTGTGATCCTGTTGACTGGCTCAACACATAGCTTTCCTCTGTGACCTCTTGCTTATCCTATCACAGTAAATGAGAAAAGCCTTGATTGCTACTTTCAGTTTAGCTCACTGTCCTAACTGACCATCTCAACACCTGGCAGCTTTGAGTTGGTCCCATCCTGTCCCTTCCCTTCCCTTTCCTTCGTTTCATTTTCACCTCTCTTTCTTCTCTATGACACACTATACTCTCTTTTTACTCACACTATACTATGCACATATATGATATATGTGTGTGTGTGTGTGTGTGTGTGTGTGTATATATATACTCGTTTATATTTACATGAGAGTAAATTTCTTGGCAGCAAGGAGACAGTGTTTACCCCTATAAACCCTACAACATCCAATGGTAAATAAATATTTATAAAAAGGTAAGTAAATGTATACAGATTGAGCAGCCCTAATCCAAAAATCTGAAATGCTCCAACACTGGAAACCTTTTAAGTATTGACAGGATGCCATACGTAAAAAATTCCATTCCTCACCCAAGTCACACATATGTGCACTAAAAATATTGCATAAAATCATCTTCAGTCCATGTGTATAAGGTATATATGAAACACAAATGAATACCCACGGTAGATCATTATGTATTTTCAAATATTCAAAATTCAAAAAAAATCTAAAATTTAAATAGGTATCAAACATTTTAGGTAAGGAATCCTCAATTTGTACAACATATCAGAAGTAGTCTACATAAAAAAAATCTTCAGAAGAAGGAATGGAAAAAGAAATAATATAACCTAAAATGCTAAATACAGTCTAAAAATTTCCAAGTAAGCAAATGAAACTCCATAGGCTATTTAATCTAGCAGCATTTTACAATTTATAACACTCTAGGTAATCACTTTTTACCAATAATGAGCAAATAAACTGAAAAGAAGAGACAAGGAAACTTTGAAAAGAGGACATATTCTGTTTTTTTGTAAAGATAAATTGTATCTTTAAATAGTATATTACTCATGTAATTTGAATAACTGGCATTGTCCTAATAATTTCACGAATGATATTCATTTTTTAACTTTGATACTTTTGAAACCATGTGATTATAAAATACAAAACACTTCATAACTGCCCCATATCAAATACAAATAAAAGCAAAGCTATAATGTTAGATATACTGAATACAGTACAAAAAGAAAGATGCGAAATGTAAGTAAAAGCAGGGAAAATCAGATGAATAAGAGTAATTCATGAAAGACTTTAAAGCAGAGCTTATTTTGTTATCATAAATCATATAAACCAAATAATATGCAGCAGATTATAATGCTGTAAATCCAAAACATAAGCGACCAACACAGACGGTCTACAAAGAGCACTATTTTAGCCTAAGAAGGCTGCTGCAGTGCTCCTATTTACTGGTTAAAAGAAAAAAAGTTGTTCAGCCAAGCTAGATACACTAAGTCCTAGAAGTAGACGGACACAGATCATCACCTCATGTGTTTCTTCAGTGAAGTAACATGGACACTGTCAGACAAAAATAGGCAACTGTTAAGAGACTGATGCACAACTTCAATTTAAAACCTCACAGTAAAATTAAATAAAATCTTCTAGGGATTTTTTTATTCACTGTTGTAACCCACAAGGAAATTTACCTTCAACCTGAGCAAAAATTTCTTCTATTAAAAGAGAACGAGAGCCAGGGGTTTAGCTCAGTGGCACTGTGCCTGCCTTTGCAAATACAATGTCCTGAGTTCGATTGCTGGTACAAAAAATAAACAAACCAACCAGTATAAAAGAGAATGAGAAAGGTACTCCCACACTTGGACATTATCTAGATAAGTTATGACAATAAAAAACTCCCTCTGGGATTCACTGAGTTGCTTACTAGGGGCAACACTTGAATTGTAAATGCTAAAATTTGACATTTAAATATTCAGAAATTATTTTAAGAATTTCTCTCTAAGGACTTCAAGTTGCTATAACTTTAAAGAAACAATACTGAAAAATGAATAAGTGCTTTAAGAAAGAAATTACGAAAAAATAATGAAATTGTTAATGAAAAATTCAAGTACTGACATATTATAGTTATTTACTTTGAAATTACTAACATCATAAATCATACTGGCATATACAGTAAAATTTTTTAATTTGTTATTGTTAAGTAAGAATCAATATATAACCGTTTGTCCATATACAGAATAATAATTTCAATGTTAGTTACTGCCACTAGAGCTGGTGTATAAAGCATTTTTCCAACATAACAGATATATGGGATAGCTTACCTGCCCTTGTTCTCTTTTCCTTTCATTTTACTTTCTTGACCTTTTCCTCCAGTAGGATCCCACTCTACACAGGCATCTTCCACTTTCAGATTCAAATGGGATGAGGAGTTATCCAAACTGAAGTTAAGTGCTGTCCAAGATAATATTTTTCCAAATGTAACAAACATATCTCCACTTTGAGAAGCACATCTACTGTATTCTTTTCCTATTCCATTGACTCACACTGTATACAGTACAAGGAATAAAGTTCAAACTTCTAATCCTCAAAAAAAAAAAGGTCTCCATGATTAGTCTTTAATTTATAATTTCTACCTTATTTTCCATTCTTTACAGATCCTATATTCTAACCAAACACACTGTACTTGTATGGCCACAGTATTTCTCCTGTTCTTTTTTACTGGAATCTCCAACAGTACCAATACTCTCAATTTCCTATTTCAATACCAGTTACTTATCAGCTGACTGTTTTCACTGAATAGAAAGAACTGGTAGAATTAAGAAGGAAAAGGTGATACAGGGTAGAAAAGTTATACCATAGAAGATGTGGCACACATTTTCTCTGATGTTACAATACTTAACATTTTCAAACTTAAACTCATTAGGGTTAAATTAAGATGAATATTAATAAATCGCAGCTGTGATCACACAAGCAAGGGAACTGACTCAGCCAAAAGATGATTTATATGGCAAAAAGTAAAAGGGAGAAAAGGGGCACTTAGATGAAAGCAAAACAAAAAATGAAAACCATCGTTTTACTTGGCATTTGGGGGAACTATATTATTCACAGACTTAGAACCACTCACTAATTTAGGAAATCAGCATAACAAAGTATTTACTTCCTTCTTTGGGAACTGAGGATAAATCATTAAAATGTACTGATTCATGGCTGTGCGATGCAGTTTCTATTTTAAAATGCAATTCCCATAATCTCTACCTTACAAAGTATCACTTATTGCACAATTTCCAACTGACTTGCTTTTGTTAAGTTATATTTCCATCCAAAAGTTAAAGTTTCTAATACTTATTCACTCAAGGAATATACCTTTAAAATACCCCATTTCATATATGGAAATATTACTTGTTTCAGCTAAGGTTTTAGTGTGTCTGTCAAGAACACAGAATCAAATAAGAAAACAAACACAAGAATGAATGAAGAATCCGTTTATCTTCTCCTGCAAAGAGCACCTCAACTTCAACTATATATCAGAACCACTGTTGTCTTTATTTATAAAACACTCTGAACACACATCTGCTGACCACATAATTTCTAGTAAATGTCTTCCTACATAAGGAAGTTAATAACTTTTAAACTCTGAACAGAAATGAACTTAGAGAAAGAAGGAATAACGTAGCTTTTCAGTAAAAATGGAATTAAGCGATTAGGTAATGTATGCAAGAGGATATACATTTTGAAAGAAAAACTAGCTTTGACTCTGAGGTTCCCATCAATTCTCAACTGCTGTTAAAATTCCAAGACTGGGGCTGGGGATTTAGCTCAGTGGTTCCTCTGCCTGCCTCGCAAGTGCAAGGACCCAAGTTTGATCCCTGTTACACACACACACACACACACACAAAATCTCAAGACTGAAGGAAGTACTGTACTAAGGCTGTTCCCTAATGTTTGTATGATGGAAAGAAGGGCCACCAGCAAAATGAAGTCAAAGACAACAAGAAAAAATACTATCCATAAACCACTTGTGCCCAAACTTATCATATACCACAATATTCAAATGAAAAAGCATATATCTAAATCTGAGGAGTGTCTTCTTTAAAAAAATCTCTCTTTCCTATGGACACTATTGCCATTAAATCCATTAAGTTCTTTAAGTTTACAGAGCCTCTCCAAGGTAACAGAAATAATACTGCAGCAGTAAAAAAAAGAAAGAAAAAAATTAAAGACTACCTCAAAAGTGAGGTAATCTCTCTCACATAAACCCCGTGATATACCTAAGTATGAGTCTCCACATATTTAATTCTATGAAAACAAGATACCAAAAGCCAGAGTACAAATGCTTCATATATTTAATATGTGTTAGTAGCTACTTCCTTCATACTGTAAAATTATGTTCTATCCATTATTATTTGAGGTGAATAGTAATTTTGTTATTTATTAATATAATACTATTTTATAAGCAAGGAAAAGGTAGTAACTTAAAATTTTTAACCCTAATAACTTGTATTTTTTATTACTTTTGACAATTTTGAGGCCAGAAAAAATACTACTACATACATTGAAGGGATAGAAATGAAATGTGTTCACTATTTTCCACAACAAGACTGGAAGGCGTCAGGGAATGAACTTTTGAGAGGCCTCAAGTATTTAATCTCCAACTCTTTTTCCTTTCTCTCCATTTTCTATTTCATATTTCATTTTTCTATTTCATTTCATATTTTGCCTGGATGGTCAAATAGTAAAGAGTTGCTCAATGTGCCATTGTTTAAAAATAAGGACTTTTTCCCTATGGACCTCTTTTTCTTATATTAATAGCCAATGCTATCTAAAAGTTCTGGAAAATCTATAATCCAAAGACAATTAAGAGATAAATTTTATTCTGGGATTCCCTGAAGATAAGAAGACTGTTTGGTGGATCTCAGGATTGGATTTTAGTCTAATCCCACCCTAAGGTGTTTATTCAGTGAAAATTGTTTAAAAGAACTAGAATCAACTTAAGTCTCTTTCTTTACGAATCCCAAACTGAAGAGTTTGACTATTAAAATTTAGATACTGCTAACAGGAATGGCCAACTCAGCTTCAAGGATATCACAAGCCAGTTATTCATTTTCCTGAACTTATAATTCACCACACATTTGCTCATTAAATATGAAGGGCAGGGCTGGGGATTTAGCTCAGTGGTTCCACCACCTTCCTTGCAAGCACAAGATCCTGAGCTCAATCCCTGGTACCAAAAACAAAACAAACAAAAATATGAAGGGTAAATAATAAGTAAGAGAAGAAATTTTAAAAATGTTTTTCATATTTTATTTTATTCTGATATATTTTTATGTCTTCCTCTGAATCCTATCAAATTTCTGGTATTTAAACCTGTTCAAATGCTATCTGAAATACAGATCAGTGGAATGCTTCAATTTCCATGTACCTACAACAACGTGTGGAGTCTGATGCTGGAAGTAAATCTAGTCAATAAATATCTCACAAGTGGGAAGATGCCTAGCATTATGATCTTCAAATTCTGAACACCTAGAAAATCTTCTGTGTTCAAATGTTGTTACAGGAGTTTTCACTAAATCCAAATTTCTCTCAGAGACTAGAAAGAACATGGTTTCTAGGTCCCCAATAAGAGATGGTACTGAAAAAGACTTTATACCTTTTCAAGCTAGAACTACAGATTGTGGGCAAGTCACCTAACATGTTTCAACTCCATTTTCTTCATCTGCCATATGGTTATCAATAATATCTAGTCTACTGATCTCTCAAAAGGTTAATGATCAAATGAACTGTGAGAATGCCACGTGAACATTAATAAACTACACAGAAAGTGGTAACTACAATATATTAAGAAAAAGAGGTCTGCATTTTGACTATTAAAATTTAGATACTGCTAACAGGAATGGCCAACTCAGCTTCAAGGATATCACAAGCCAGTTATTCATTTTCCTGAACTTATAATTCACCACACATTTGCTCATTAAATATGAAGGGCAGGGCTGGGGATTTAGCTCAGTGGTTCCACCACCTTCCTTGCAAGCACAAGATCCTGAGCTCAATCCCTGGTACCAAAAACAAAACAAACAAAAATATGAAGGGTAAATAATAAGTAAGAGAAGAAATTTTAAAAATGTTTTTCATATTTTATTTTATTCTGATATATTTTTATGTCTTCCTCTGAATCCTATCAAATTTCTGGTATTTAAACCTGTTCAAATGCTATCTGAAATACAGATCAGTGGAATGCTTCAATTTCCATGTACCTACAACAACGTGTGGAGTCTGATGCTGGAAGTAAATCTAGTCAATAAATATCTCACAAGTGGGAAGATGCCTAGCATTATGATCTTCAAATTCTGAACACCTAGAAAATCTTCTGTGTTCAAATGTTGTTACAGGAGTTTTCACTAAATCCAAATTTCTCTCAGAGACTAGAAAGAACATGGTTTCTAGGTCCCCAATAAGAGATGGTACTGAAAAAGACTTTATACCTTTTCAAGCTAGAACTACAGATTGTGGGCAAGTCACCTAACATGTTTCAACTCCATTTTCTTCATCTGCCATATGGTTATCAATAATATCTAGTCTACTGATCTCTCAAAAGGTTAATGATCAAATGAACTGTGAGAATGCCACGTGAACATTAATAAACTACACAGAAAGTGGTAACTACAATATATTAAGAAAAAGAGGGGACCTGAGCTATAATGAACATGTACTTCTTTATTATTGATTCATAATTCACCCTGTGGAAAATCTCTGGAAAAATATCACCAATAATTATATATTTATATTAGACTAAAATTCATATAAACTAAGCATTCAACAGAAAATATACTACTACTGACTATTTGACCCATACAAATACAACCATAAAGGGAAATTTATGAAAACTACTACTATAGTTCTATTTTCCCTGCCTTATAATTCCTATTGTTGGGAAATCCAGAAGTAGGCTGGAGCTGGTAGAGGAGGTGAGGAAGGAATTCAACCACACATGAAATGCTTTCTGTCACAAAGTCTTGAATAACTTCGGATGTTAAGTTTTGTTTTATGCTGTATAATAGCTATCGGTCTTACCTTTGGTCTCTAGGGTCACTGGATCGGAATATTCTCCAGCCACAGCTTTGTTACAAGCTCGCACTCTGAAATTCATATACTTTGAATCAAATTTTAAGCCTGCAAAATGACAGAAAGTTTTTAAAGGAAGCTAAATGTGTGTGAATCTTCAAATGGACAGGTTTTTCATCCTTGGATTCAGGAAAGGTATGCATTTATGGCGAAAGGATGCTACTGCTTAAAATAAGAGGAATCATGATTTACCTATTATTTTGTTTAAAATAATTTCTTTTTTGTAAATTGGGAAGGGAAGAGGGGGTGAAGGGAGGACAGGGTATGGGGAAAAAATGAGAACCAAGACCTGTCATGTAAAGGTACAAGATCCCAGTAATGGATGTAACTGTACTGTATACCTAAAATGTACCAATAAACTCAATGAGGAAAAAAAAAGTAGTACTGTGGGGTTGGGGATTTACTTCAGTGGTTCTGCTGCCTGCTTCACAAGCACAAGGACCTGAGTTTGACCAGGAACCAAAAAAAAAAAAAAGTAGTACTGTGACAGAAGTCACAATTTACTCTAACATTCAATTTCTGGAAATGAGACATTCTAAAGAAACACTGGCTTTTATGTGAAAAATAAAATTAAACAGGAAATGAAGCACAAAAATTAACAAAAACTGTGGAATTTAGTCTACGCTGAAATTTCAGCCTAAAAAAATAGATTTTCAAAAACTTGATTGATCCTCACTTTTCTATCTGTAATATAGAAATGATAAAACCAACTTCATAAAAGATTAAATGAGATGTATTATACTGGTTAAATGAGGTATATTATATGTAATGCATGTAAGCCCAGCCTCTGACAAACAGTAGTACTCAATAATGGTAGAGCCAAATGTTACTGCTATCTAGAACAAGCACTGAAGATTTTAGACAATATCTGGCCATCTGAAATATCTGAAGTCCCCACTGCACTGAAATTTTTAAAAGGCTTTCAAAAGACAAACACAAAAATTGTTAATACCAAGTCTCAGCTCATGTATTAACATGAAGGTAATCCTAAAACAGTAAAAATTAACAGTACCAGTGAAATATGACATATTGAGTATAGCTAAAAATCATTTACTTAGTCTAAACATCAAGGTAAAAATTAAACTTTACTCTGAAATATTGTTTCTAGAACATTCCTTCATTATTTGTTTTATATACATTGTTGTATCAGGTTGCAAATGTCCCTAAATAATTAAAAAAAAGGTTTTCTTGGTATTTCAAAAAAAAAATCACTTTCGCCGGGTGTGGTGGTGCACACCTGTAATCCTAGTACTCGGGAGGCTGAGGCAGGAGGATAGCTGTGAGTTCTAGACCAGCCTGGGCTACATAGTGAGTTCCAGGTCAGTCTCAACTACATAGTGAGACCCTGTCTCAAAAAAAAAACCAAAAAACAAAAAACAAACAAAAAAAGAAAATCACTTTCATAATAAATATCTAAAATAGTTTAGCTACAAACTTAAAATTTTATAGTTTAAAATAACAAAAATTTTCCATAATTACATTTATATTCTAAGAATGAAATTCCTTATTACTATTAGTTTACCTGATAAAGTATATTCGATACCCTTAATATTATCAATTATCTCCCAACATCGCTCATCCTTTACACGTGGAAGTCCATCAAAATTAGTTTTTCTATATTCAAGTATGTAATGATCAATCTTATTATCTTCTTCTGGCATTCTCCAAGCTACTGTTACAGAGTTGTCAGCCACCAAACACTCTACTGGATCTATCTCGGGAGCTTTGGGAACTGCAGAGAAGAAAAAAGAAGAGGAGGTACTCATTTCTCATTCACTGTAGCATTAATCACATATTTATGTTTGTCATTCCAACTTTGCTTTTTCATCCTGCTTTTGAACTATTAAAAATTAATCAGTTTAAAAGAAAGAACACTCTATAAGTGCAAAATAACTATGTTAAAAGTACCTTTTACTGACTGACTATGAAGAATTTGTGTTTTAAAGCTTTTTCATAAATTCAGTTTATTAAAATCATCAAAAAGCAATCCTAAACATGCTAAGGGCAAATAATCACAAATTATTTGATACTTCTGAACACATTATAGTTTTAATCTGTTAAATGAAACAACTGTGGAGTATAAATTAATCAGTATTGACTCAGAATTAATTGCTTTGAATATAATACTTAAAATAATTCAAGATTAATTTTAATTTATTTTAAAAATTTTATATGGGGAAGTGAATTAGAGAGGTTCATTATCAAGTATAAAAATATAGTTAGGAGAAATAAGTTCTGGTGTTCTATGGCACAGGAGAGTGACGATGGTTAACAATCATTTTTTATATATTTCAGAACAACAAGATTCTGAATGTTCCCAACAGCAGCGATGAATGTTTGAGGTATCAAATATCACGCAGCACCCCATAAATATGTATAACTACATATCCATTAAAATTTTAAAACATTTATATAGGACATGTACTAATAAAAAATGATGGAAAAAAGCACATGCTGTTGATTTTTGAAAAAGTAACTCAGTGATGCTACTGCCTGCCTTGCAAGTGCAAGGTCTTGACCTCAAGCCTTGGTACCAAAAAAAAAAGCACAGGCTCCAACCGAATAGGAACGTGGACCATAAACTCTCAGATTGAGCTATCTGGGCCTTGACTGAGCTATTTGGGCTGGGGGTGGGTGGGCTGTTTATTCTAGTGTGAATAAAGGCACATGAGGGAAAAAAAAACTTTATAGAAGGGTTGTAATTTTTCAGCATTAAACAAAACTGAGTATTCTACCCCCTAAGATATTTGAAGATTTTTAAACATTTCTCCCAGGGGTTCTATGATTCATTAGATTCATGAAAATAAAACTAAATGAGACACATTTAACATGTTTAAATATTAATCAACTTCTTTTCCATAAAAGATATATTTGGTGACCAATCAGGTTTGCGGCAGACATGCAGCAACCCTCTTCAGATACCAGCAAGCAGCCTCTCCCTGGACTTGTATGGCCCTCCTCCATTCAACCAAGCAGGCTGGGGCCAGACTTAATGATACCCCTCCATGTGAGCAAGCAGACCTGCTGTAGGAGAGGACCCCCAACACCCCACCACACATAGGTAAGACTTTCCACCAACTCCAAGCTGGCTCTACATTTTGCTTCCCCTTGGTATAGGACAGCAGAGGCGAGGACTAACCAGCCAATCTTATTCTGCTCAAGGACAATGCCCTGGGAGAGACGGGAGCAACCAAAACCCGTAACTGTCAACAGTAAGTCCAAGAGTCCACTCGAACCCCTGCCCCACAGTCTACATCCAGCACAGACTAGAGGACTAACTGCATTCCCATCTACCAGTAAGAGCAAAGACAGTAGTGACAGTCTGGGGTGAGCAGACAGAGGAGTCTCTTCTAGTTCAGGGAAGGAAACCTCTAAAACCCGAGGCCCTAGAGCTAGGGAAGAAAACTGGGACTGGCTGTATCCCAACAGTAATGAAAGAAACCACTCATTCAAAAACAAAGGCATTTTCTCTTGATTTTTAAATTTTCTGTTATTTTCATCTCACTTTTGTTGGATTTTTTAGGAGTTTGGGGGTTTTTCTCCCCCCCTTTAGTTTTTCTTCTCTTTTTTTTTTTCCTCATTCAACATTTTTCTTTCTTCTTTCTTTTATTTCCTGTATGTTGCTCACTGTTCATCTTTTTCTCCATTCTGCTGTTTCCTGTGAATGTTCTCTAACACTATCAATTTCCTTTTACTTCTCAATGGGACCCACTATCTCATTTTTCTCGCCTCCTTCTCATAGCCCATTGATTAATTTCTCAAATTTAGCTTTTTTCATTCTCTGGTTCTCTATGTCCTCTACCTTCACTAGTATCAATACTACGTTTTATGTATTGCTAGATAGCTACTTATCTTTACACTACTATTGTTGATTATTGTTTTATTGTTAATAGAGAAAGTTTCTCTATTCAATAGATTTTTACTTTAGATAAATAATTTGGTTTGTCTTAGTATTTATACTATAATTATAGATCACTTTTCTATGGTTAAGGGTAGCACATGATTAGCTCTTAGGGTTTATCAATACTATTTGTATTTGATGTTATAATTGATGACTATTTTATGCTAGAACCAAGTATATATGTTATTACATATCTGTTGTTATTAAATGGTTTTCTTGGGATGTCAATGTCTGAATACCGTGGATCATTAACAATATTGTGGCCCATTTCTGGAGAACTAGGTACTGGGAAAAATATTCTGTACTGGAGACCCCTGTAGAGGATCCTAATCTCTTGCACGGTGCTATGATGCAAGGTGAGAAGAAAGACTCAGTGATAGAATTAAGGAGAGAAATGGGGAACCGGTCAATGCTGAGTAAGCAGCAAAGACTCTGAACAGTCAAAACTGTCGATTTATTGGTGACACAATCATTGGTTGGGGTGAGAGAACTACATGTGGTTCCTAAGGATAAGTTGCTGATGTAGGCAAGGCTTGTAAAAGAAGAGACAAAGCATTTCTGTGAACAGACCAGATATAGGTTGTGGTTAACAATTAACCTTGTCTTTTCAGTAAGAAGGTTTTAATTTTGTGAACGAAATTTGGGTATGAGTCACCTTGACCTCGGCTGTAGTGTTATTTCATATTAAGCGCCACAGCTTCACTGGCTATTTCTCTGGCCTCTGCTGAGGCCATTGCTAGAGAGCTTATGTTAACCAGCATGCCGACTGCAATGCTCTCATGAGTTGTAGTGTTCTCAGGCCTCAGACAGACTCACTCTTAAAACAAGCCAATTGTGGGGTTAACTCTTTACAGCCTGCATTGTTTACAGCCTGCTTTGGACATAATCAGTCTCCCACAATGCTGCAACCTCACATCCCAAGTAAATGGAGGTGGATGGATCCTGGGAAAGAGGCAAAGGTCAACAGTAAGCCAAGCCAAAAGGACAACACTGAAAAGTAGACATAAAATAAAGAGGTTTCAGGCTGGGGATTTAGCTCAGTGGTTTCGCTGCCTGCCTCACAAGCACAAGGTTCCAAGTTTGCTCCCCGATACAAAAAAAAAAAAAAAGTAAAGAGGTCTTCATACTAGAAACAAAGCTTTCCATTACAATCAACCTGCAAGCCACAACACAAAACCAAACAAAAAATACCAACATGAGAGGACACACTAATAAAATATACCCCAAAACTCATGACTTCCTTAAAGTTGATTCATGGATCACTGTAGAGGAAGAAACCAAAAGCCACACACCCAAATCATGCAAAATGATATCAGAGGAGACAACAAAATAGATCAATAAGGCATTTGACAAACTCATAGAAGATATAAACAAACAGGCATTGAGCCAAATAAACAAAATGAGTAATCAGTCTACAGAAGACAATAATAAAAAGCTATGGACTGGGGATTTAGCTCAGTGGTTCTACTGCCTCCTTGCAAGCGCAGGGACCTGAGTTCGATCACTGGTACCAAAAAAAAAAAAAGCTAGCAGAGCTAGATGAAACAATGCAATACACGCATGACTACCAGAGAAAATAATCAGAGTCCATAAAAAGGTTCCAAACAATACTTCAGGAGATTTCAAATGTAAAAGTAGGAACAGCAGAAGTGACCAATATGAGGACGGAGTTTCAAAACTAGAAGACAGGGATGTTATCTGTGACAAATTAGAGATTAATGAGATATCTTAAAATAACAGAACATGAAAAATAGATCCAACAGCTCCTAGATGATACAAAGATGGCCTATCTAAGATTAACTGGAATTAAGTGAAAAATTAGAAGACAGCACAAATGGCATTAAAAAAAACTGTCTACTCAAATAATAGCAGAAAACTTTAAAATAAGCAGAAAGAATTTAATATACAGGTAAGTGAGGCATACAGAACCCCAAATTTCCACAACCAGAAAACCTCTCCACAATACATCATAGTCAAAATGTGTCTGGACTCTTGGACTCCTATAAGTTCAACACAATAACAAAATTTTAAAGTGCTTAGAGAAAAGTAATAAATCATTTATAAATGTAAACCCATTAGAATTACAGCAGACTTCTCAACACAAAACTTAAAGTCAGGAAAGCTTGGAATGAAGTGTATCAAGCCCTAAACAATTTCTAATCCAGGCTGATATACCCCACAAAACTATCTTTCAAAAATGATGGAGAAATAAGACATTTTCATGATAGAGAGCACCTAAAGAAATTGATGACTGCCAAGGCAGCACACCAAAAATTCTGAAGGGTATCTTAGGAAGAGACAATAAACTTAACAATGACAGAAGATATAACTGATTTATTACCAGGTAAGGTAAGCAGTTAAGCAGAAGGAGAAAATAGGGAATCAGCAACAGGAAAAAAGGAAATTACGCAAATGCATGGAAACTAAGCACTACACTCTTAAATCAATAGATCATAGAGGAAATCAAGGAAGAAATAGTTTCTACAATGAAACTATGCCAGTATATACAACATACCAGAACTTATGGAACACATGGAAGCAATTCTAAAAGGAGGTTTTATAGCTATGAATGTCCGTTTTACAAAACCAAAGTGAGCCCAAATAAATAACTTAACAATGCACTTAAATGTCCTAGAAAAACAAGAAAAATCCAAACCAGTACAAGAAAGAAAATTACAGGGCTGGGATATAGCACAGTGGCACCGCACCTGCATGGCAAATGCGAGGTCCAGAGTTTGATCACCAGTACTGAGAGAAAGTAAATAAAAATTATAAAGATCTGAGCAAAAAATCAATGAAAGTGAGACTATAAAAATCATACAAAGATCAATGAATTGATGAATTGGTTCTTCAAAAGAAGAAACAAAATATCCAAATCCCTAGCCAATCTCACCAAAAAAGGAGAGAAAAAAATCAAATCAATCCAATTAGAAATGAAAAAGGTGAAATCATAATGGATACTGTCAAAAATCAAGAAAAAATTTAATAACTATTTTGCAAACCTGTATGCCAATAAATTGTAGAATTCAGAAGAAATGGATAGATTCCCAGATATATAAGAATTACCAAAATTTAACCAAGAAGACATAAAAAACCTGAAAAATCCAGGAACAGACTAAAACTAAAGTAGTAACCAAAAAAGCCTATCAACTAGGAAAAGCCCAGGATCTGTGTGATCAATTCACTGCTGAATTTTACAAAAGACTCATGCCTTAGATACTTTTTTCTTGTTGCTGAGACAAAAATACCCAACACTCGAAGTTAAAGGAGGAAAGGTTTATTTAGCTCACAGTTTGCAGAGGTTTTAGTCTGTAATTGGCTGGCTGCAAGGCAGGGAGGCATATGGCAAAGAGACATCACAGAGGAGAAATGGTTCATGGCAAGCAGACAGGCAAGAGCAAGCAAGCAAGAAAACATTAACATCTTTCTATCCCTTTTCTCTTATCCAGACTACCAGGATTAGGGCAGTGCCAAACAAATCAGCATTGGTTTAGTAATCACATACCCGTAATTCCAACATCACACACTCTAGATTCAGCCACCTCTGAAAAAGCCACCTATGACTACATGAGGCTTCTGGAACATCTAAACCCAAACCATAACAACTCAGGAAGATATAACTCCAATACTCTTTAAGCGCACTAATGAAATTCAAAGGGAAAGAATTCTCCTAAAGCTAGAATTTCCTTGATTTCAAAATCAGGTAAGTATCTAACCAAAAAGAGACTATAAGACAATCCCTTTAATGAACATAAATGCAAAAGTCCTTAACAAAATGCTGGAAGATAGAATGTAGCAAATCATGAAAAAGATCATACATCATGACCAAGTAGGCTTCATCCTAGGGGTGCAAGGATGGCTCAATATATGCAAATCAAGAAATGTAATACATTACATAAACAGAAGGACAAAAAACACATGATCATGATGCAGGAAAGGTCTGTGACAAAATTCAACATCCATTCATTATATAAAAAGTGAAGAAAATAAGTACAGAAAGATCTTGTCTCAATCTGATAAAAGTCACTTACGACAAACCTACAGCCAATACCATGTATATATATTTTTTTGTTTTGTTTTGTTTTGTTTTTGTTTTTGTTTTTTGTTTTTTTTTTAGACAGAGTCTCACTATGTAGTTGAGACTGACTTGGAACTCACTATGTAGTCCAGGCTGGTCTCGAACTCACAGCAATCTTCCTGACTCAGCCTCCCAAGTGCTGGGATTACAGGAGTGCACCACCATGCCCGGCTGCCAATATCATATTAAATAGAAAAAAATCTGAAAGCTTTCCCTATAAAATCTGGAACAAGACAAAGATATCCCGTACTACTACTCTTCTTCAATACAGTAATTAAAACATTAGCCAGAAAATAAGAATCAAGATCTGTCATGTAAGGGTACAAGATCCCAATGATGAATGTAACTGTACTGTGTACTTAAAAAGGACAAATAAACTCAGTAAGATTAAAAAAAACATTAGCCAGAAGTCAGTCAAGAAAAAGAAATAAAAGCAAAATGCATAAGAAGTCAAATTATCATTATTTATAATATTATTTATAATTATAATTTATAATAATTTATAATTATATTATTTAGACCCAACAAATTCTACCAAAAGATTATAGAACATTCTAATTCAACAATGTAGCAAGATACAAAATTAACACAAAAAATAAATGGTGTTTGTGTACACCAATCATAAACTCACTGAAACAGAAAGTAGCAAAACAGCAGCATTACTGACACCATCAAGGAATATTAATACTTAGAAATTAGGGTGAAGGCAAGGCAGGGACAAGGGGAAAAAATGAGAACCTAGACTTGTCATGTAGAGGTACAAGATCCCAACAATGAATGTAACTGTACTGTATCCCTAAAATGTACCAATAAACTCAATTAAAGCTGAAAAAAAAAAAACCTTAGAAATTAACCCAACTAGAGAAGTGAAAGAACTCTACAATGAAAACTACAGTACTCTGAAAAAGGAATTCTTAATCACTTTTATGATCAGTAAAATAGTTTCCTAAAAATAAAAACTAGAAAATTTAACCAGTCCTTAGTTGAGTGAAGAAAAAAGATCACACAATATCTTTTTAAATATTTACATACTGATGCTCATTCCAGAAAAACCTTGCAGGTTTTTATTAAACACTATACATATAATACATGAATTTACCTGGCAAAAACTTTAAAGACTGTAGCATCTGTCTTTCCTGAGAGAAATCCACCATTAAATGAGTCATGTTGTCACTGACCTTTGGTTTCAAAGAAAGGCGAAAGGCTGAAGCCATTGTGACTCTATGGAAAACACAAACATACTGTTCACAATACAAGAATAGGAAACATCCTATTATAGTGAATTTATAAAATGGAAAGAAAAAATTATTTCATACTAAAGATTTCAGAGACTATAACAAAGGTAAACAAAAATTTCCTTTGTCTTTTGAAAATTGAAAGAAAAACCTTAAATGCTTTTAAAGACATTTAAGATAACTTTTAACAACTATGGCCAGTTTTATAAAATTGACTATATATGCAAATATCACAAGAGATAAATGCGTAATATTAATAATCTTTACCAAACCCAACATTCATCTGAACCTCTGTACACTCAATCTCACTGACTTCCTGATGCAAGCCTCATTCCTTTCCACACACCAAATAAGGAACCATAGGCACAACCTAATTCAAACATTCTGCCCAATAGTCACAGCTACCCCATGTACCCCAAACAAGAACAGAGGGAAACAGACCTAGTAAGAGCTAAAGGTAGAGGCATGGATGAGAAAGGAGAGAAGTAGATCATGATCAGTGAGTACCAATTCAGCATATGTCACTCTGATCTATTAACATAAGCTACACTGAAGAATACGATGAGAAACAGCCCTGTGCAATTATATGCCATGGAAATAGTTCAATACATTTTTGTTAGATAGATGTGAGGTGGAAAACAAAACAAAAATGAAACCGAACCAGATCTTACTTTACCAAAAAATGTGGGGAGACTGTCCCAAATTAAAACCAATTAAGACCAAAATGAATTCTTATTCTATCCATTTAAAATTTTATCTCAAATTTTAATTTTTCATATTACAGTAAATTTCCACAAGTATCATAAAGAAAGTCCCTTAACTTTGGTCAAAGAATGATACAAAAGTACTATTCAAGGGCCGGGGATTTAGCTCAGCGGTTTGGTGGCCTGCCTTCCAAGTGCAAGGACCCGAGTTCAATCGCAGGTACCCCCCCCCAAAATAAAGTACTATTCAAGAATGTTGTCTTCCTAGGATACAATTTTAGAGAGAAAGTAAATAGGAGCCGAGGGACAAAGGGAATATCAATCCCAGATAAGTGGATCTGCCAAGCCTGACCAAGAAATCAATGGTATGAAAGACATCAAATTTGCTGTATACAAAATTATTTTACTTTGTTCTAAAACTAAATAATAATAACAATGAGTAAATGGCACTTTATTATGAAGAACATGCTATACTGAAATACAATTTATAGGAAGCTTACACTGACTGTTTACTATATGACAAGTATAAAGCTGAATATTGCACACATCACCTTAAGGTGTTTCAAATAATAATATTTTAATTTTAACCAAATAGAAGTTATGAACAAGGGGTAATAAGTCTTACATATGTAGTTCTTTATAGCCTCAAGTATCTTTTGATCTGAAGATTTCTTAGAAAGCTATATTCAGAGAAATACTTAAATGCTCACTGAATCAGTGAGTGGATTTGAACTTACTTTGTTTCTTCTAAACCTGATAAATATTTAATTGTTTAAGGAGAAAAGCTGAGAAACTATTTTAGAAAATTAAAAAATATGGAATCTAGAAAACTTCATTTAATCAATATGAACATAAAGAAAAAAATGTCCCCCAAAAGGACATTAGGGAAGTTTAAGAAAGCCTAAAAAATATGATTAATTCCTAGTCAACGAAAGCATAAAAGTTTATACTAATTAACTGAGATGGGCAACAATGCTATCATCTTTTTTAAAAATAGAACTTCCATTTAAAACTCAATATATTTAGACAACCTGCCACTAACTAAAAATCTGAAATTCATAACTCAGCCTCTAGCAGATACTTTCCTAGTTTATTTCTAATAGTACCAACTAAATTCAAGGATCCTTTACTCCTAGTTTGTGCAAACTACCTTATTTGATTCTCTCCTTCATGACCCTTTTCTTCCAAGAACCAGTAATTCCCATTATCTACTTATACTAATCATCCTCCAGTTCTAAGTAACCAGAAATATACACCATTGATTTGTAAAGCTCTAGAGATGTGCTTTTTTCTTCTCATTTCTGCTGTTAGATTTCCTTCTCACTCCTGCTGTTCCTCTGCCTAAGTTCTAGCACAGTAAATGATACTCAGTTCTCAGAGATACTTTCATTTTTTTATTTGATTTCTTGCTCAGATGTTCTATCTTCTTATTTAAAGTCAATTTCTGCCCTTATATAAAAGGGTAATCCTTTTTTTGGCTTGGTGAAAATAATTGTTCTGGCTGTATGTTTAAATTATTTTTGTGAGAGGCAATGATAGAATTCTAGAAGCAAGCAGAAACTGCACCAGGAAAACCTGTACCCTAAGAAACTAAAAATCTCATGTAAAAAGTTAAACTAAAATATAGAAACACTCCTCAGGCAGGAGGCAATATTTGGTGGGTAGCCCAAAAAAGGAAAAGAGAAAATAAGAAAAAGGGAAAAAGAAAGAAACAACCAAAACAAAAACACAATTCAAGATAAGACTTGAACAAAACAAAAAAATAAAGTTTGTCTCTAGCAGAAATAAGGAATCCTGAGAGTCACCTAGATACTGATGAAATCAAGTCAAGAAGTTGGCTTAGAAGACATGGTAAAGTCAAGCTTCAATGAAGAATAAGCCATGAAAGCTTGTGATAAAATTAAATTCTGACAAACCAATCTGGACATAGAGAAAGAGGTCATGAGTAAGGAATGGATTCTGGAAAGCACAAATTTATACAGATTCTTTAATGAAGGAAAGAAGATTTCACAATGTCTCTCAAAAATCTGTGGATAGCCCAAAGCCTGATTAGGAAGCAATTTCTAATCCAAAAGATGTAAGAAAATAGCAACTAAATAGGAAAAATAATTTAGCCAGGGTGAGGATGCATTGTTTGCAGCAAATTCCAGCAGACACAACTCATATCTCTCTTACTCAAAACCTGTTCTGTCTAGCAACCATTCCTCATATAGCCAGTATTTTCAATCTTCAAGCTCTCATAATCACACTGGGCACAGTGATATATTCCTGAAGTCTCAGTTAGCTGGGAGCTGAGTTGGTAAATAGCTTGAGCCCAGCAGTTTGGTGCCAGCCTGGGAAGAATTTGTCTATTAAAAAACAAGCAAACAAACAAACAAACAAAAACTTCTCATAATAATTGTCTTTCTACATTTCAGAACTTGTAAGAACAATCCACAACTTTACTGCCCTACATAAAATACACAAAAGTGTAAAATTAGTATCTGTGCAAAGAATACCCTACTATGTAAATATAGCTTCTAAATAAAAATATGCAAAAAATCCAGAACTGACATTTTTCTGCCAAAATCAGCAACAGACACAACTCTGGTTTTCACAGAATCTATAATGAATATTTTCATGAATTATCTGGTGTAGAATAATTTAATCCCTAGAGCAGTGTTTGAAGAGCTGTGTCTCAGAGAATCTCATAATCCTCAGTTGAAAGAACTATTAAATTACAATTTCACTGCAGGTAATGGTCAGTGACCAGTCATCAGGTTAAAATTGTTCCTTCCATGTTGATGCAATCCAAAATTGCCAGCAGCTTCTTCAGCACTCTGACATACTCATTCCAGCTAGTACTAAACTCCCTTTTTATTCCTGGATCTACCAATGAGAAACACCCTCTAAGCTAAAATCTTTTAATAATTTTCTTGAATTTTTTTTCTTCCCACAGAATATAAACTAGATAGTGTGGAATTAGAAATAGAAAGACATGGTACCAGGAACAGGATAGAATGAGAATACAAAGATGTTAAACAGAAGGGCAATGAAAGAGGAGAGCTTTAGCTCTTGAGGACTACTTAAAAACTGTGGTTTCTCCAAAAATAAGACCTGCTTACCAAGGAAAATAAAAAATGAACTCCAGGAATAAATACTTTGAAAGTATTCAAAATAGCTCCTTTTCTATTAATACAACTAATTAAAAACTGTTCTAACAAAACTAAAACTAACTATATTTTTAAACCAGAAATGAAATTCTCTTCAAGTACATAATTGTTCAGAACTGTATTCTTAAAGCATGTTTTTATTTTTAAAAATAATCTTCCAAATTGATTATTCCAGAAAATAAACAGAGGACATTTTATTTTGTTCTTGGCCATTTGGATGCTTCTGTTTTAAACAACAAAGATTTAAATTAAAAAAAACTTTCTGAATTTCATTTCTGACTTCAATACTGATACTTAAATAAAAATGTAGGTTTTATACCATACCTATCCTTGATCTGTCTGGCAGCCTTGGAGAAAATCAGGGAGAAGAGAAAGAAGGTAGTTAGTGCTTTTCATGCAAGTTTCAATGGCAGTGACATGCAAGAAAAGTTAGAATATAAACCCTGCAAAAGATGAGCTCATATTCACTAAAACATAAATTACAGAAATGTGTATAGTTCACATGAGCTTACATAATGTGATGTTAGAACTACAGAAATTCAGGCTACATATAAATCATCTTTTAAAAGAAGGAAAATTTAACATTTCAAACTAATTCCAGGTGACTATAAATGCTTTTTCTTACCTTAGGAATATCAAAACATACCTCCACTTTCGTTCAGTCTAATATTCTTCAACTAGAACAATCAATTTGTTTAATGGAACACAAATTTCTGTGCATATATGTTTCTAGATGGTTTCTTGTACATGTCAGATATGTTCTGATTTTTTCTTCAGGGATTTCTTTCGCTACTTTATAGTGGTTTTTCCAAGTATTTTCCCCATATACCTTCACTGGCTAGAGATTTTACCTTCTCAGAGCTTGCCTGCTAACATGTAAAAGTGCAGGTCTACAATTTTTTACTCTGACAAATGAAGTCGCAACAGAAGAGATTCAGAGGAGACCAGAGAAATACAGTACTTCTAGCAGTGGTGTCTGTCCCTCAGGAGATTTCACAGAATCTGCCAATTTAAACCTGTTATACATATGATGTCTGTCATTCCCTCTCTCCTCTCTTTTCCTCCCTTTCTCCCCCTCAAATGCAAGTGAAAATTTAAGAAAAGGATAAAAAATTATTTGATGCTGTACAGTAAAAACAAAACAAAACAATGAAAATAGGGCTGGGGATTCAGTTCAGGGTCACCATGCCTGCCTCGCAAGCACAAGGTCCTGAGTTTGATTCCTGGTACCAAAAAACAAAATAAAACAAATCACAACAAAAACCCAATGAAAATACATCCCCAAAAATGTATCCCATTTACGTTTTTTGCAATATATTCAACTAGAACTTTCCTCCCACACTAATCAGCATTTTTAACAATACATCTGATATAGAACATGACTGTTTTACTGAACACAATATCCCTAAGGCCTAGCATAACACTTGGTACACAGTTATACTTAATAATTACTAAATTTCACTGGATGTTAACTAGATGTATATAACATAGCTTCTACCTCCCTTAGTTCTAACACTGTTTTACACACTTTTGGGTCATTTTTATATCAACCCTAAAATATTTTGGTCTAAGTACCACTGTATACAAAAGAATTGAGATTTAAAAGATCAGCATATTATACTATTCCAGCACTATCACTAATCCACTCTGTGACCTTGTATATACTAATCATTTTATTTTTCTACTATATTAGTTAATGTTTCTAAAAATCCTTTCCAAGGTCCACATTCTACAGCAAACAACCCCATTCTGTGGCACTTATATGTGCCTTAAGTAATGATATAAGTTTGGAAACAGGGATTTAAAATATGGTAAGAAAGTTGATTATATGAATTTTAAAAACCACTGTCATTATAGCTGGAATTACAAAACGAAGATTGCAGTGTGTTAAGAGAAAGAAGAGATTCTTCTCTGTACCTGATATTTCTTTACACATGGAGAAAGTACCACTAGCATTACTTCCTTATCATCTCTATTCCCTCATTTCTCCTTGGTAAGTGATGTGATTTATTTGATTATGAGTTTGAAAGGAAAAAGTAGAAATGAGTAGCTCAGCATGTTATCATTTCATATACCACACTGTTTGTGAAACAACAGAAAAGGAATACATGAAAAGACAGATAATCAAGGAAAGCCTGGTGTCCCATGCCATTATATATAATACATCCACTTGTCAAAACTAAATATTCTGTGGCTTTAGTTTCAAATTTTATTGTACATACATTATGTAAATGTAAAAGTTGACTAATTACTGTGCAATGACAAAAGGGCAAAAGTCTTATTGAAAATGAAAAATTATTTTGTTCTAGAATTTCTTTTGCCGAAGCAGAAAATTATCCAAAACATACACACTGCTCTGTATTAGCTTGATTCTCCTAGGTTTCAATTTCAAGAGTAATAAATTCTGTCCATTAAACATTATTGTTTAATAAGTAACTGGCTGATTCAAGGATTTACCACTGTGCTACTGTTATATAATTCTACTTCATGAGTTATGAAGATGTTTCAGTGAATGCTTAGATTTATTTTTAGGTTACGGTACTGTGTATTACTGGAAAGGCACCAAGGAGCATTAGTCATTTTACTTCACTCATCATCACTATTTAGATCTACTGAAATTCTGTTTGCCAACACTTCAATTCTCCACATCCGTATCAAAGACAGGTTTTCTTTTTTCTCTTTCATTCTATCTTTCCTTCACTCTCAGTTGTTACTAAAATAAATTTTACAATTATAGTACTTTATAAGTTGTAGGACTCTATCACCTGAGACTAAAGCCCCTTAAGTAAAACTGTAATAAGAGTGCAAAGTAAAAAGAATCACAAACATTTCTTCACAATTTCCAATTAAATATAAACAAGTTAAACCAGATGTTTTCTTGACCTCTGGTTTTGAGAAACTTGTCTTCTGTGTATTTACCAAGTACTTTAAAGATTAAATATCTTATTTTTTCTGTATTTCTCATTAATATTATCATTTTTCTCTTTTTAGAAAAAAGGGCAAAAGCTTCAAAATGCTATTTTCCTTTAGGAAAAAATATCAGAATTGAGCATCAGTTGATTCTATATACTAAAAGTTATATGAAACATTTTCAAAAAGCATGATCATTTAAAAGTATTTGTCACAAAATAGTTAACACTTAAATAACTCTAAATTTTGAAATACACTGCATACATCTACTTTGACTAAATACACTTGGGTAACAGCAGAGTGCATTTCTGTAAGACACAAACACTCGCAAAGTAAATATTAAAATTATATTTTAATCTATGCTTAATAAATATTTAATTTGTTTCTAAATTGCATTCAAAACTAAAGCACTCATGCTATGGGTGAAGGTTCCTCTCCCATCATTCCTGCCTTCAGTATAGACAGGAATCTTCTGCCAATGCTTTTCCCTTAAAAATACCAAAGTAAGGTTCTACCCTCTCTTTATTTGCTCCTCTCAGTGGTGAGAGCTTGATGCTGGATGAATATAGTCTAGTGCTATGTGAACTCATTTATGATGAAACCACAGCTCGTATGTCCCACTGTTAGGTGGCTTGAGCCACCAGTGATACAAGCATGGCTCTCCCATCAGGCAGCTTTTTATTAATTTTATTAGTTAAAAAAAACAATATAAGTGATTAGATTTCTTTTGCCACCAGATGGGTCAGTTATGCATGTACCACTGGTGGCTCGAGCCAACTCCATGTTAATGTGAGTCAGAAGGAGAAACACTACATTTATTTTTCATCCATGATCAAATGCGGAAGACACTGCTTCCCTTTTATCTTACCCTGAACTTTTTATTTCACTATGGGCACTCATGGGTAGGAAACTGTTCTCTCTTTTCTAGTCTGACAACTGGATTATAATGATGTGCCTAATTGCTTGTATGAATTTGGAAATTGTTCCACTGACCAGCTCTTTCATAGGGGAAATGCAAGATCTAAACTCAGAGTAAGAACAGGAATATTTTAACTTTGGCAAAGGATACAGTGTTCTGCTGGCTATTAGCAAAGAAGCCAGATTTGGCAGAGTTTTGGCCTCCTGTCCATTCAGGAATAAACATAATGATCTAGATCCCATTTAATGATGATCTTTCTGCATGTTTTTAGTATCAACCAAACTTCTAGACATCTAAAAAAATTAATTGAAGTTATGTTCTAAAGTCCTTTCCTATTTGTGCTATTTCACTTTCAGATTATGCAACAATGACAAAATAGCTACATATCAGCTCTCAAGTGTAGATATGGCAACATGAGAATTTTCGTATTAGTATTTAATCTTTATGAAGATAATGAAGTAGGAAAAACTCATTTCCTGGGTTTCAGTCTATGTTATTTTGTGTTAATGTGAATGATTTATTCATATTAATCTGATTTAAGCACTTTAATATGGGATATCCACAAATAGTATGCCTTCGATGTTTTTTCTTTTTCCAGATACTTAACAATATATTGCTAGACTAATAATCTTTAAGTCACCTCTCCTATTTTGTCAGCACCTAAGTGTTTAAAGTAGGGGGCATGCAGCTGGCTAGGAAAGTAAACTTTGTTTCTGACTCGGAACCAAACTACTATTTGTATATTATTTGGACATACTAAGAAAACAATTGTTAATGCTGTGCATTTTTCTTGAACAATAAACTCGTATTTCTGGCTAGGAAAGATTAACAATTCATTTCACCCCACTTCCAAATGGTTCAGGCTACTAACTCATATTACAAAATGCTGGAAAACAGGATCAAAATAGCAAGACAAAAAGAACAAAGTGACTTATTAAGAAAATATATTTAAACTACAATGTGATTTACCAGAACTTTTCCAATTTTCAAACTATATGGAGAAAGTTTTATCAGAAACAAAGCTGGATAAAACAAAAGAGAGACAAAGAAAAATGGATAGTATTTGAGAAAACTCTGAAAATGTCAACAGGAAGAGAAATTTGAATGAAACTAACTGTTAGTACAGTTTTTCCAAAGAATCGTCCCCTCTTTAAATGCAATTGAATTTAGTTATTTTTTAGTATATATGTTGGAATTTTATTGTTTTCCTGCCTTCCTCACTTTCAGGCTGTCAGCTGTTAATTTCTGCTGTTGTATGTCTGTCTTTTTTTTTGTTTTTTAAGTGCTTGAGTAACTTCTTTTTTGTTTTTGTTTTGTTTTTGGTACCAGTAATCCAACTCAGGACCTTGGGCTTGTGAGGCAGGTGGTGGTATCACTGAGCTGAATCCCAGACCATAAGTCTGTTTTTTTTGTTTTGTTTTGTTTTGTTTGAGACAGGGTCTCACTATGTAGTTGAGACTGCCCTGGAACTCTCTTATGTAGCCCAGGCTGGTCTCGAACTCACAGCGATCCTCCTGCCTCAGCCTCCCCAGTGCTGGGATTACAGGCAGGCGTGCGCTACGACACCCGGCTCATATCTTTAACAGATACCCTACTGCAGAAGGAGAATCTGTTGGCAACTAGGAGACAGAAAAATAAAAAATAAAAATTTAGCAGTACTGAGTTCAAAGTCATAATGAATAGGTTCTGAGAAACTATTATGAACAGAGAATATAAATTCCTGTCCATGCACTCTATTGGCTCTGATTTTGATAATTCAAATATTTGCAATATTTGCATATTTCTTGGCTATTTTCTAGATACTTAAGGTTATCACAAATGTTTTCTAGATGGCTGACATCTTATATTTTTAAAATAGTTTAAATTAATATATAATTATTTTACATTATAAGTCCTACCAAGTACAAAGGTAAACTATAACTCATCTATCCAAATTTAAAAATTAGCACACTGATATACTTTTGTTTTGATTCATATTGTTAAATGAAGAAAATTTTTAAAAATCAATTTTAAAATGCAAAGACAGGCTGAAAATGTTATCTTCTAAAGAGTTTTTTTCTACTTGAAATTCACAAGAGTTAAATGAAAACATTTATAGTCCACAAATGGAATATAAAGCCACTTATTTAACACTAATGGCGTTTACTGCGTGGTCCACAATGATTAAGCAAGGAAAATCAAACTTCAGTCTTATACTAAAAACCACACAGTAATGTTTTTCTAATTATACAGGTAGCTTTTATACTTTTTCCACATCACACCTTAATTCTGTTAATTTGGTAAGTTGGTAATGATTTAAAAACAAATCTACATAAAGCGAATCAGAATTCAGAAACTTCAATCACTTACACACCAAAATCCAAGTTAAAACGTTAGCAAACTTCCTACTCTACTCTTATTTTTATATCCTTTAGACAAGGACCTATACTTTTATACTTTAATAAAACATTCAAACAATTTACTGAAGCTAAACAGTAGGACATTTATCTAATGATAAGTGTCACAAGGCTATTCAAGTGATGATGTTTTCTCAGCTCATAGAAAGATAGATGATTTTTATTTTTTTATATAGATGCTTTTTAAACAATACTAGCAACAAAACCAATCTTTTCTCTATCATGGAAAGTTCATAACAAAGTTCTGACTCAGTTCAAATACACAAATAATACAAATTACCAACAGGAATATAATTGAAAAAGAAAATCTGACTCATATAATTGAATATTAAAGTAAAATTAAACTAATTTATTCATACCCCAAAGATACATACTTCAATATATCTGCTTTGAAATAAATGAATACAACTAGCATTTTACCTATCAAGAAACACCAAGCCTATTTCAATACTAGAAATGACTATACAAATTTAAAACTAAAGGGATAAACATCTTTTTTTAATACTCCTTTATAAGTGTATTAGTGTAGGATGTTTCATTAGTTTTTGTACCTTTGAAAATTCTTCAGGCTCCTTTATATCTAATGACCTTGTTGCAAACTCTAGTAGTTCTTCAGAGTTTTCCAGGGCATTATTACATTGGCTAAGCTGATTCTAGGGGAAAAAAAAAGCTAAATCATTAAAATGAAGTTTTCTATTGCCACAGAATCTTAAATATAGTTATAATGAATTAACAAGTGATTTTAATAGCAATGAAAATGTATGTCACAGAGTTGCTGAAGCAAGATAATCATGACTGGTTAGTTATTTGATAAATTTTATTATTTTAATACTTTGTACTTAGCCTCTACCCGTAATTTATGCACAACAACTTAACTGAATACAAAGATATTTTTTAAAGGAAAGAAAAAAAAAGCAATTATAAATAACTGGGCAGATTTCTTTAAAGATTATTCATCGGGGTAGTCAGAAAACTATCTACAGTTTAAATTAAAATTTAAAATACTCTATCTGCAGACAATATCCTTTTCAATGAATACTAAATTTCTTGATATTTAAGCTAAAGTTATAGGTATGTTCAGTGAGTATAATCCATTTATTATACTATTCAAGTAATGCCTACTACTATATATATGAATTTACAGTTTCCAAGACTAGATAACACATGATCTGCAAATGCAGGTACCTACAATTCAGAAGGAATGAAGAGAAACAAGTTTCGAGCTGTTACAGTGATACACTCCGAATTCACTGCTCAATACCAATTCTACCTAATACAGTCTTTCTTATTTATTTTCCTCCTTCCTCTATTTCCACATATGAAAAGATTGTTAGTGATTATCTTCAAACAAAGAAATCCATTTCTAAGCTTTCAGATGTACACAAGATTGTTTAGAATATTTAATACACATTCCATATTCAAATCTACTTACTTTTCCTCTTAAAATAAGTATTAAAAATAAATTACAGCCATTTTGCTGGTCTCTGATATGCTACAACATTGCTTTAGAATGGAACAGTTAATTCATAGTTTGAATTAAAATAGATTTTCAAGTGTTATTTTAAGAAGCTAACCATAATTTCATAAAAATAGTGCTCCCTCTGTGAGTAAACACCTAGGTTCCAAACAAGAATTAACAACTCACCATTTGAAATATCCCATTTGCAGATTTACGAAAAGTTCAAGCAAAATAACAGAGAACAAAATGGTCATTGTAAATAGTCTAACTGGATCTGATATGAAGACCACTATCTGGACAGAGGACAAACTTGCTTCTGTGTCCTCAACGTATTACCCTTAAAACATGATTTGTGTTTTCTCTAAGTTAGACAGTTTGTTTGGTTCATTTTGCTAAAAACTAACTCTTCTCACAGGGCCTCAAATGTCCATAGGTAAATAAAAGTAAAACAAACCTTGACAATTTTGTAAAGCTGGATCAAATTCTCAGCTCTACATATAGACATATTATTCATTTAGGGAGTGTTTGTCTAAAAATTGGCAAAAAAAAAAAAGCTTATTAATCCTAAATTTACCTAGCCTATCTCATCACCCTTTAATACTGAGAACACCTTCATCCAGAAGTCTCCACTGCTCTAAAATTTAGGATCACCTGAATCCCAGCTTAGCCTAACAAGACTGAAGCTGTCCAAGCAAGAGCATCATCTCTTAGGAGACAAAACGCTCCTCAAGACCTAGGAACCTTCTTATAGGAACTGACTTGTTCAAGTCATAAGGATTCATCACAAGGCAGCCAAACGGAGTGCCTCAGAGCTTCAAAACCACAACTGAGATAATGACCAATCATACCTCATTCCACTTCTCCACTCCAGAAACTGGTCTCTATTCTTTTGGGAATGGGACGGTATCATCCTCTTTGTCAGCATGACTCATTATCAAGTTGGAGTCATTTCTCTATTTTCTCTTACTTTCCTTTGTTAAGATGCTGGCTTGATCTTTGTCATCTCTATAAGCTAAAGTCCCTCATCATTAATAAAGCTTTTGTCTATAAATTCATATTGTTGCATTATTTTTAATTTCCATTATCACTAAAGCAAGGATTAATGGTAGCTGGTGATAGATCAATGGGGCAGACAAAGTCAATGTAGTTTTAAAGTAAAAATACCAAAAAGAATAAGAAATATATGTTAAGAACTCATTAAAAATAAGAGTTCAACTTGAGGTCAAGTTTAAGATTACATAATATTTTATTCTACAGAAATGCTATGGATTTACTTTGAGGTTAAGAGACAGCAAAATGCAAGGTTGTATGGAGAAACATAATTTAATTGATACACCAGTTATTTGGAGGAGTTAAGAGTAACTCTGCTGGGCTGAGGAAGAAGTCAGCAATACAGCACTTTCCTAGCATGCATGAAAACCTGGATTCAATTCCCAGTACCACTGCCAAAAACAAAAACAAAAACAAAAAAAATGGAGGAAATGGCATCCATTGCAAAGATATCGTTTCTTTTTATAGTTTTAAAAAAAATATACACCAGGAAGATTCTATGGTAAAATTTCCATTACCTTATTACTATACCATTTCCTTAGACTCATGACACAACAATATGCTCAAGAATGAATAGTTTTGTTCACAAAAGCTGTCTTAGTAACTTAGAATCTTACTTTATAACCACCTACTGTCCCCTTAATGTCCCTTCACAACCTCTGAATCCTATAAAAGTTGCCAAAATTTTTGTGGTATGAAGGAGACATAAGTATTAAAAATTATAGAGGATAATAAAATGTAAGATTTTTTTAAAGATGAAATCATAGGAGAAAATATAGATCTGAAATAATAGTGAGAAGACAGTGCTAATATCCTTCTTGTCATCACTTCCAAATAATATTTAAATTTTATCTTCCAGTAAGTCCCCCAGGGATAATTAAAAGCTAATGAATTTTACTTTTTTTTTTTTTGAGACAGGGTCTCACTTTATAGCTCAGGCTGGCCTTGAACTCATGGCAATCCTCCTGCCTCTGCCTCCTGAGTGCTAGAATTATAGGCGTGAGCTACCATGTCTGGCTAAAAGCTAATGAACTTTAGAGAATACTTAATCAAAATACCAAGAGTATAGTCATGCCATTTAAAAAGAGCTCAAATACAGTTGTTTTGTTTTTTTGGTACCAGGTATTGAACTCTGGGCCTTGAGCTTGTGGCAGCACCACTGAGCTAAATCCCAAGCCCTCAAATATAGTTTTAATGGAAGACTTCCATGAATGAGATTAGTTGCGAAAAAAAAAACAAAAACAAAACTTTCATTACTATACTAAAGATTCAAAAAGTTCAGAGAGGACACAGTTTTTTTACCTGATACCGTAGGACAAAAGCAATTTAGATAAACGTGTTTGGCCCTAGTATGCACTGCTGGGAGTTTAGTCAATCTAAAAATAAAAATTCAGTAGCTATTTATAAAAGCAATACTTGTAGCTTGTTCTAAGAAAAACACTGTAGATTTTATATGTACACACATATATCCAGCTCTGTATAAGGCTGTCAGAAAATAAGTTCTTGGACAAAAGAATAAGTTAAATAAATAAAAATAAAATCTATTTTCATATGAAAAGAAATATCACACTTCTAGAAGTCTACAGACATATTTTAAACCCAAATTCCACACTAGGTAGAGATTATCCAATTCTGAAAAATCTCAATCATCATCAATTAACAAAGAACATTCCCTAAAAATCAAAGTCTACATGCCATGATATGAACACTAGTAGAGGTCTCCTCCAAATCAGCACTAACTGCCTTCAAGATGGTAAGACTTTTATATAGGACTTCTCGTCTTTATCTCAACAAATGAACTGCTTTCCCTCTCTGCCCTATATTAAGTAAATTATTCCTCTCTTCAAGCTTTTCAAACCAACTAGTAAATAATTGCTTCTTAACTCAATTTCCTTCATGCCCCTTCTATATTACGCATAGTATGTAGGGCTTATATGAACATTGTGTGTGCATAGGCATGCATGTATGTGCATGCACCTGCACAATAAAGACAGGGTTGGCTCTTGCTATATAGTCCAGAATGGCCCTTAACTCACTATGTAACCTCAATTTGTGGTCCTCTTGCCTCAACCTTCTAAATGCTAGGATTACAGGCATGCACCATATCTGGCTAATGTTATCCTTAAATTGATACTGATCTTATGTACAATTTCGCTTACCCTTGTAAGATACCCTTGTTCCTTTGACAAAAGGACTTGATCTTGCTTTCTTTTGTACTTCTTTTAAATTATCTCCATTTAAGAATGTGAAATCCATGAGGGTAAGAGCTCTTTTGCTCATTAACACATACATAAAATAGAGTACAGAAGTTTTCTACTAAATTACTTAAATGTACTGACTAAATGCACGAAAATGATATATTAGCAATCATATATTATTAATGACTTAATATGAATTTGCTAATAAGTGACAATCTAGACTAGGTTCTTAAATATTGACTTTATTTCTTTTTTTTTTTTTGAGAGAGAGAGAGGATCTCACTATGTAGTTCAGGCTGGGCTTGAGCTCACTGTGTAGCCCAGGCTGCCCTTAAATTCATGATGATCCCACTGCCTCAGACTCCTGAGTACTTAGATTATAGTCATGTGCCACCACATTCAGCTAAAATATTAATTTTAAACATTAAAATGGAAAACATTTTCAAACTCCTTTACAGTCCTGAACTAGAGTAAGCACAGTAGCATGTGATGAAGATGATAAACTCTGAAAATCTAATGTAGGCAATTATAAGTACAATGTGGTTTTGTTTTTGTTTTTTTGAGGCAGGGTCTCCCTTTGTAGTTCAGGCTGGCCCTGAACTCACTATGTAGCTCAGGCTGGTCTCCCACTGAACTGCTCCTGCCTCAGCCTCCCAAGTGTTGGGATTACAGGCATGCACCACCCCACCCATTTCTATAAGTACGATTTTTAATCAAGCTTTTAAAAGAAATTACTGTAAGTTGTACAGTTATTCAATGGCAGTTATTCAATGCATTTAAATTTTGAATAGCGAGATGTGATAAAAGAACCTAAGAAGAGCTAGTTAGTCCACTGCTGTCAATTAAAAGCTAGCAATGTGCTAAGGATGAGTCTGAGTGGCCTTGGTGGCTGTCTAACATTTATGAGGCCTGAGGTTGTATCCCCAGCATTGCAAAAGAAAAGAAAAAAAGCTAGCAGTATAGTTAGATAAATGAAGACTGTGAAACAAATAAAAAGTATTTTCCTAAACTAAATGGCAGTTTCTGCTGTCAAGGTAGGCACTGAGAATAATTAATTTTATCTAGCGAATTCTACATTTTAAAACATGTCTATTAATTGCACCCAGCTCCTCTAAAAATGCCAGAAAAATATATTATGAATACATATTTACACAGAAAAAAGATCCAAACAAACAGAAGACATCATTTGGGCATTCAGAGTTTAGAAGTAAAGCTGAACATAATAGCATCAGCACTGGAAATGGTTAATACTTCATAATGCACATTCAATATGCATGAGGTTTTGCCACTTGAAGGAAAAAGGAAAAGACAGGAGCAAAGGTCTGACTCATGGTCACATTAAAGATTTAATGTATGGCATGAGCTATAGTGACAGAAATGTTGTCTGGTAATAGATGAGAACAGGGCTGATGTGTGGAGAAAAGGTACAGAAAGGGAAAAGGGAACGTTTGCAATTAAGCAACTAGATGCTTAAAGGCCATATGAAATTGGTTCTGAAAGAAGGCCCTGGGCCTGAGACAAAGAGCAAAAATCCACAGATGAGTTGTAGGTTAGATTTTTCAGAAGTTGCTGAACTTTCCTTTCTTCTTTGTTTTTGTTGTTGTCTTTTGTTGTTTTTTGAATGGATGATTCTTTTACTAAAATTTATGGAAACAATGATTAAACTAATTTTCTTTGAAAGATTTAAGTAATACAAGTGTCACTCCCAAATATAAACAATGAACTTCATTCTGGGAAGAAAGGATATTCCTAAGAGGGTATTAGATCCTCAGAAATAATGTGTGTAAGAGAAAATGGGAACATTCATATCATTCCATACCTTCAAGATTCTCAAAGATACCTATGATTAAAACCAACATTCAAAAAATCAGTTGTATTTTGTATACCAATAATGGACAGTCTAAGAAGGAAATTAAGAAAATATCCATTTTTAACAGCAGAAAAAACACTTTGGAGAAACTGCAAACAATGAGATAGAAGGCCTACACACAGAAAACCACAAAACATCCCTGAAAGAAATTTAAGATAATAAAAATAAATGGAAAAACATCCTGTGTTCATGAACCAGGAAAGTTAATATGGATAAAATGTTCATATTATCAAAAGCAATATACTAATTCAGTATATTTGATAGTGCCTATCAAAATCTCAACATCATTTTAGGAAAAATAAAAACATTCTAAAATTGATGTGGAATCTGAAGGGATCCCAAATTGCCACAGACAATCTTGAAAAGGAACAAAGTTGAAGACCTCAACACTGATTAAACAAGGCTGCGGTAATCAAAAGTGTGGTACTGGGACAAAACCAAATAAGAGAAAAGAGAAAAAAGACAAAAGACAAAAGAAAAATGGAACAGAACAGAGAGCCCAAATGTAAACCCTCACATGTATGAAAAAATGATCACTGACAAGGGTATCAAGATCATACAATGGGAAAAGGACAAATGGCATTTGGAAAACCAAAGACTCACATGCAAAAGAATAAAGTAGGACCATTACTTTATACTTCATACACAATTAATTTAAAATGTCCTAAGCATAAGATCAAAAAAACCTCAGAAGAAAACAATAGGGAAAAGTTTCATAACATGGCATTTGCCATGATTTCTTGGATATAACCCAGGCAACAGAAGCAAAAATAGACAAAAAGGACTACATCAAACTTAAAAATTTCATCATTATAAAGGAAACAAACAAGAAAGTGAAAAGTCAGTCCCCCTCAATGGGATAAAATAACTGTAAATCATACATGTAATAAGGGGTTAATATCCACACCAGAAGGATGGGGATGTAGCTCAGTGGCAGAATACTTACCTAGCATGCCAGAGGTCTTAGATGCAATTAAAGCACCCACCCTCAAAAAAAACAAAACAAAACAAAAACAAAAACAAAAAAAACCCCACAAACAAGCAAAAAAACACAAACTTTGAAAATCAAGTCTGGGATAGGAATTCCTACAACTCAGAAAAAAACAAAAACAAAAAAAACAAACCACAAATCATAAAATAAAAAGACATGCAAACAACCTGAACAGATACTTCTTCTTTTTTTTTTTTACAGTACTTGGGATCAAATTCAGGACCTTATACTTGCGAGGCAGGAGCAGTGCCACTGAGCTAAATCCCTGGCCCATGAACAGATACTTCTTAAAAACTAAATGAACAAAACAAAACACCCACAGAGATGGTCAACAAGCATGCAAAAAAAAGATGCTCAGCATCTCTAATCATTAAAGAAATGCAAATCAAAACAAAACTGTAACAAATACCAGCTCACTCATTATGATGTCTATTATCCAAAAGAGAATTGGTAAGAAAGAAGGGAAACTAGGACCTCTGGGTGCTGCTGGTGGGAATGTGAAAGGATATAATCACTAGAGAAGACAGTATATACATTCCTTGAAAAATTAAAAAAAAAAAAAGAACTATCTATGATTAGCAATCTGACTTGTGCATATACAGCCAAAACAATTAAAAATGGTATCTTAAAAAGATATACCCGCCTATCTATGTTCACCACAGCATTTGCAAGGGCCAAAAGGAAAAAGAAGCACAAAGGTCCAGATAATGGATAAAGAAAATGTGGTATAAACATAAATGAATTTGGCCATAAAAAAAAGAAATCTTGGCACATGCTAGAACATAGATGAACCATGGGAACAATGTGCTGAATAAAACAAGACAGCATAAAAGGAAGAATCTATATGATTCTATTCATACAAAATATACACAGTAGCAGAAATACTGGAAAAAGAGAACACTATAATTCCCAGAAGCTGGTAAGGAGAAGGAAATGAGTTAGTGTTCAACAGAATTTCAGCTTTGCAATAAAATGAAAATTACTGAGCTATGTTATACAACAATGTGAATACAATAAATTGTATACTTAAAATGGTTGAGGCTAAATTTTATATTTTTAGCAACAAAATTTTTAAGATGTTAATGACCAAAAAAAAAGTTAAAAGTCATTTTTCTAGAAATAAAGGTATAATTACTCAGAAACTAATTTTTGTTTTCAATAAATCAAGCATTTTAATTATGCATATTTAAAAATTATATGATCTCACCTGTAACTCTTGTGATTTACGAGATTGTTCTTGCTTGATACTGTTAATCATACTTTCTTTTACTTCATCCAAAATAGAGTACAAGCTATCAAATTCTTCATCTAAATCTGAAAGTATGTTAGAAGAGTTTTCCTGTTTTAAAAAACAAAACAATGATTTTCTGAAGAGCTATCAACATTTAAAAACTAAAAGTTATACTCTAAGGGGAAAGTAGGTTTCTATGATAAACTACCTTAGTCTAATGTAAAAATAACAAAACTCTAATATTTGACTTCAGGCTTTAGAAAGAGAGACGTATAAGAGGCTGGTTGCTAATGCTGATGGTACTACTAATTCAACTATGCTGTGAGTAATGCTGCTGTCTTCTATGCACTGGCTTACATCCTCTTTCATCTTTTATAAAATTGTTCCAGGGGAAAAAGCAAAAAGGCAGCTGGAAAACAGAGCAGGGGAACAATGCCAGAGGTGGTAGGGGTGCAGACACAGACCCTAAGACCACCCATCCATGACCCACAAGTGTGGTGCACCAATTCCCTGGGTGGATCCCAAAGCTAATCAAAATGACATACCACCATAATCACCACATCCCATTCCTTGTCACATTCACACCCAAACACATCTCCCTTAAACCTTATTTAGTTTCCACATAAACACAATATAATAGTACCTTGGTACTCACTGTTATTTGGTTCTAGAATGTGTGAGGGGTGCCAACAAACTGTTTTAGCTTGAAAGGGTAGAAAGTCATGAGTCAATGGACACCAGTAAGTTCTAGTTTGCTCTTCAAGTACCAAACAAATGCTGAGTACTGGGACAAAATTTTTATACCTAAATTGATCAAGTACCAAATTTAATGAGTTTCAAAACAGAGTGCCTGCAGTAAGTTCATAATATTGCCTAATATAATAAAACTACCCTGCATATAATCAGAAAGGCGACAACCTCTTTTCCAAAGTCTCAAAATTTCCAGCCTCTTTTAAAAGTTCAAATCCAAGTCTTTTCTGAGACTCAAGGCAAACTCTTGGCTATGAAACAATAAAAATAAAACATGACTCACACAATATATATCAAAATGCAGTGTAAAATTCCCATTCCAAAAGGAAAGAATAGAGAGAAAAGAATCAAAACAAAGAAAGACCAAAACTCAGCAGGGCAAACACTAAGTCCAGTGGCTCTATATCTGGCATCCAAGGCACATGATAAAATGTGAGTTCACAGGGCTTCACTACCCACCCCACCATAAGGCCTTGCTGGTTGCAGGTCATGTGGCCTCTCTTTGAGCTGGATCCACTTACAACCTGTAACTTTGCACAGTAGATACCTGGTATCTTCAACTTTCTGAGGTCTCCACTGTGCCTTCAGATTCATTCCCACATCTTTGTGCACAGCTCTTTCAGGGGCTTCCTGATAGCCTCCTAGACCTTCCTGTGAAATTGAGTAGAAGTCTCCTTGATGCCATAACTCCTGCATTTTATATGCTGGTAAAACCAGGATTACATGACAATACCAAGGTCTCTGACAGTGGGAGTAATAGAAAGGCCACCTTGGACCATGCTTCAGTGACCTCTGAGTGCCTGGATGCCTGAGCACAGTGAAATGAATCCTGAGCAATCAATTCCCTAGATGGCCCTTCTCAGAGTGGCCAAGTATTCTCTTCTCAACTGAAAGGTTAATACTTTTGCATCTTTGAGCCCGTGATGGGTGGAGCCTTGCCAACTCCTAAGGTGCCCTCAAGGTATTTTTCTCCTTGTCCTTTTACAAAGTATTTGGTTTCTTTTTTCCTCCCGGTACTAATCTTTCAGCAGTCATAAACTTCTGGCCCAAACATTATACATGACTCCTATTCAGCCAAAAGTTAAATCTTTCTGATTTTTCTACTCTGCTTTTTGCCCAATTCTCCCTATAAACCAGGCTAAAAGCAGCCAGCAGCAACATGACATAGCCTGAATGTTGGGCTCTCTTAAAAGTATCCTCCAATAGTAGTCTACTGACCTTAACTTCAGTCTCTTGTAAAGTCTCAAGATATGGGCCAAATGTAGAAAACTTTCTGTCACAGCATAACACATATCATCTCTTGTCCAACTGTCAAGAGAGCTCTTGCTCCCAACTGAAACCTCCTGAAGCTAGCCAGCCTTTACTGTCCACATCCCTATCAGCATTTTGGCCTTCTAAACTCTAACCAGAATCACCCATCTAGTTCTGTTTACAGAATTCTGGGTTTCTTTAGCTTGTATCTCCAAACTTTTCCAAACTCTTCTTGTAGGCCAGTTCCAAAGGATTTTAAACCACAAATCAGATGCAGTCACAGCAATGACCCTTTCTGTATTAGCCATCTTTCCCATTGCTGGGACATAATACCCGACACCCACCCAACTTAAAAGAAGAGGTTTAACACATTCCCACCAGCTGTACCACCAGTGGTACATCCAGGACTATCCCATTGCCTGATGGGACAGTCATGTATATTCTACCAGTGGTTCAGAGCTGTCCAACAGAGAGACATACAAATTACAGCCCCATCATAAACATATTAATATGGCCCACAGTTTCAGGAGATTCAGTTCATAGTCAGCTGGCTCAAAGGCAGTAACATCATTGTGGGAGGGCATAGAACCATGCTCCACCAAATCCCAAAGCCAATCAAGTTGACACTCACCCTATCGCAACCCTAAGTTTACACTCACCCTATCACAGCAGTTTTATTTTTATCTGCCATTTTAAATTCCAATTATATTAGTTTATAATCTAGAATTGACAGAATATCTTTAAATTTCAGATTTGACTTAATCATTCGTTGTGACATATTTACATATTTTTTTAAAAAAATTCATACCTGAACTCCTTTTAATGTATGATTTAGTGTATCAACGAAGTTCTGAATTTCATCATTTTTATTTGCCAGAGTTGAAATGATCCTTTGCAGAGCTTCCTAGGGTTAAAAAAATTTTAATATTATCTTCTATTAAAAGAGAATTGTAAATTTTGTAACAACCATTCTATAAACTTTATGTAAAACTATATTAGATAATAAATAGGGGCAATGTAAAGCTTGTTGTTTAAAATTTCCAAAGACCTATACAACAGATGGGGCATGTATTTGTACTGTTTTAAATTCTTATTCCTAGTATACATCTTAATCATAATACCATTCAGTCTAAAAATGATCAATACTATTTCATATCAATAGTATTATTTTAGGTCATAAGGCCATGGCATATAACAGAATAACAGAATAGAGCCAAAAATCTTCAAACATTGCAAAAACAAAATTGTCTCATATAACATCAGAACATGAAGAATAAAAGCAAGGAGAAGTTGAAATTCAACATTTACCTACAAAACATTTTTAAAAATCACATTTTATAAATGTAAAACTAGGTAATAAATTTACACAATAACATTTATTGCAATACTTACAGATGCTATAGAACCATATTAAAAGGTAAGTAAATAGTAAATAACCCTAATTTTAATAATGCTTCTAATTTAAATGTGATTATTTAATTTTCTCATATTCAAGTTCAGCACTAGTCAATAAAATACTCTTTTACGACAGAAATGTTCCATATCTGTACTATTAAATATGGTAACCACTAAGCACAGAAAGCCAGTGATAAGTAGCTAGCAAAACTGAGAAACTAAATATTTAAATTTTAATTAATTTCAGTTATATAGCCATGTACAACCAGTGCTGACATTATGGACAGTACAAGTCTACCTGCTGAATAACTTCATAGGCAGCCACTGCAGAAATAGAAAAGGCACTTAAATTGCCTGTAAAATTCAAATGCAAGTGCTTTTCCTTTATAATTTTCCCAGAATGGTAAAACTTGTTTCTGTAAGTTCCTATAAACTTCCTTTTTTATAGCAGTGCTGAAGACTGAATCCAAGATCTCACATGCTAGGCAAGTGCTCTACCACTGAGCTATATACCCAACCCAAGCTTAAATATTTTAATAAAACCTATAAAATTTTACAAGTTAAAAGGTTCTCATCAATATACCAGGTATTGATTTTTTTTTTTTTTTTTTTTGGTACCAGGGATCGAACTTGGGTCCTTGTGTGGCAGGAGGTGGAACCACTGAGCTAAATCCCTAGCTCTATAACCAGGTATTGATTAAAGGTTTCATATTAAGAAACCAAGTATCTAAAAAATAAATCTAAAAGGAATCATCTGAAAGAAATAAAATGTTTACAAATATTTATAAAGCATGATATTCATTAAAACTTAAAAATAATTACAACTTTCATTTTATTCTCAAAACAATACCTAGAGATAAGGTGATATTATCATCTTTGGGCTCAGCCTAACGACTCTCTCTGTTCATTTATCTACTACAGTATTTCTTCCTAACCTTATACTTGTGGTATTTTAATATAACACAGTGAAGTTATGCTCAAAAAAAAATGACACCAAGAGTTAGCTGATTATCCTGTCAGTGCTCTTTCCAGAACGACGCAGCAAGATGTGAATACAGTACAAAGACAACAGTAGAATGGCAAAATGGAGCCTGGACTTTGGGAAGAGTTAGCTGAGTATAGCTGGAGGGACCATAGCGGTGGCATAGAGATGTAGAAAAGGTGATCATAAGAGAGAAGCATCTTCCAAATACTCATTCAAGAGAGGCTCTCTATATATTAAAAACCAATACTGTGGAACAGTAAGAATAGTTCTGCACAATCCCCAGACTGTTAATCAAAGTTCCAATTAATAAAACTGGGTTCTTTCTGGTTACTGGACTATATGTAATTTCCCTTCCACTATATTACTTATTATAGCAGGTATACAGCTTAAATCTTCAACATCTCCCAAAAGCCCTAGTATTAAAGACTTGTTCCTCAGAATGGCACTATTGGGAGGTGGTGGAAATGTTGAAGCATTGGTACATAAAAAAGGCAGATGTCATTCGGAGGAAAAATACTCTCCTGAGCATAAATGAGCCTCTCACTTCTATTTCTTATATCTAAGTTTACTAGCAAATTTTGGATTTGAAGAATTTTGTAGCAAAAACCCTGGATACAGCTGTGGCATATAGCCCCAGCTAGGTAAGCTGTGCACTTGAAAGATTTTTAATAAGAAGCCTGCCTTTTCAAGCTCCTGTAATTTATTGTGTAGAGTTAAATATACCTAAATACTCTAATTTTTATCTAAAATCCTTCATACCAGTGATAGTGAACCTTTTAGAGATCTCAACGATAACAGCCTATTGTGGGACTCATGCCATAGGTTTGCTACCACTGCTCTGTATCATTAAGTTGCCCAACTGCTGAAAATTAAGACCCTGGTTTAATTATGATGTTAGAAATCAGAATACAGCGTTTACCAACTACAATGTTCTCACTCTCCTTAGAGTAGCATTGTCCAACAGAAATATAGTATGAGCCAATAACAGCTACATCAAAACAAGTGTAAGAGAAACAGGTGAAATTTATTTTAATATTTGATTTAATACAATATTATCATGTTACATGTAATAAATATTTAAAAACTAGCTAACCAGGAGCAATGATGCACACCTGCAATCAGCTGCAGGAAGGATCACTTGAATTCAGGAGCTGGAGGGAAGCCTGGAATCACCAGAGTGAGATCCTGACTCAGGGGAAACAAAAAAAGACTTGCTTGCTTGCTTTTCTTTTCCTCCTGCCCCCTCCTCTACCCTCCCCTCCTCTCTCCCCACTTTAGATGTGAGTACTAAAGATTTTCAAATCCAATTTGTATTTCTGACTTACAGCACATCTAAATTCTAATTAGCTACATTTCAAGTGCTTCAAAACCTCATGTGCTAGAACTGTGACAATTTGGATTTAGAATCCCATACCATCCAAAACAGTCCAGGTATTTCTAAGAGTAAGAATGTAAGAGGATGTTAACGGCTTATATCCCAAAGCCTCATGTGCTCATAGATGGAACTGTAGGGAGGTGACCTGATCATGGGGTGTAATTCAGGACCCCTGGTGTATGATTCGATGAGTTTATAGCTGGGTGTGATATAGAAGAGGTGAAGTCTGGTGGGAAGAGGTGAGTCACTAGGGGTATGGCCTCATGTGTATATATCTTTCCTACTTCTCTGACCACACTCTGCTCCCTGCCTGCCATGCCATGAACTACTTCTCTGCCACTCCCTGGTGCAATGCCACCCTGCCTTGGAGCCAGCTGACTATGTACAGAAATCTCTACAAACAATTAACCCAAATAAACCCTTCCAGCTATAACTTGTGGTGGTCAGGTATTTTGTCCCAGCAAGAAGAAAGTAAGACAAAGGAAGAAATTGTCTTTGAGTCATATTAATGTGAAATTATAAAGAAGCTTTCTGAACCACCTCCTTGGAAGGCCAGAATTTCTTTATGTCCTTAGGCTATCCTAGATTGAGTTTTTTTATTTTTCAGTGCAGGAAATGGGTCTAATGCCTGCTAGGCAAGCACTCTTACCACTGAGCTACATTCCCAGGCTTTTTAAAAAATTTTATTTTGAGGGCTGGGGATTTAGCTCAGTGGTTTCACTGCCTGCCTTGCAAGTACAAGGACTGGAGTTCGATCCCTGGTACCAAAAAAAAAAAAAAAAAAAAAAAAAAAAAAAAAAAAAA